GCATCGGTACATTAATGTAGTGGGAGGATTATCATCCAATCCGACAGAATTATGTTTTTAGGTGAGACCATTATGGATATCCCTGTTAAACATGAGTTGGACCCAGTAAGCTACACGGAAGCGTGAACCGATATGGATACAGATCGTTTTGGCGAGTTACTATGAAATCAGAGTTGGAATCTATGTATTCTAATAAATTCTGGGATCTTGTAGAACTTTCTAGTAGGGTGATTCCTATGGAAGACAAGTTAATCTACAAAAAGATACCAGAAGATTTTTTATTGAATAAATCATGAGTGTACAAGGGAATGCCATTATTTTTTTGATTTTATATTTATATATGACATCCTACTCATTTAGAATGATGTGGAAGTTTTGTCATCGATAAAGAGGTAGTTGTTCAATTACTTTTAAATGAAGAATTTTCAAGATGTAAGCTATATTCCTAAGATCAAGCTTTTGCAAGATCAGGTTAAAAGGAAAATAGGCTTATCTTAATAATCCTACATTGGAAAAGTTTTTATTAAGTTTGGTATGCATAACTTAAAGAATGAGTTCTTGCTTTATTGATATGGATTGCTCTCTCTAGTAAGTAGTTTTCCAAGACTAGCAAAGGAGATTGAGCAAATGAGACTGAAACTATATGTTTTGGCATATGAGAGTCTCATATATGCCATAATCTATACCAAATAGGACATCCGCTACATTGTAGGGATAGTCAGATGATATCAGTCCAATCCTGGACTTGATAACTGGTCTGTTGTGAAAAATATCATTAAGTATCTAAGGAGAATCAATGATATCATACTCATTTATGGATGTGATGATATGGTCCTAGTCAGGTATGCTAGTTCTGATTTTCAATCAGAAGTAGATACTATGAGGTTCATGACTTAGTGTATATTCACTTAATGGAAGGAAAATCAGTTGGTAGATTGTTAAGCAGATTTCAACTGCTAACTCAAACCTGCAGGTGGAATATATTGCAGCCTTAAAGGCGGCAAAAGAAGCTTATTGGTTTGATCTCACTGATTTAGAGGTTGTGGAGCATACTAGCCTGCCTATCAAGCTATATTGCGACAATAGTGCAGAAGTAGTTCAAACCAATGACCCAAGGTTCCATAGATGAACAAAATACACTGATAAGAAGTATCATGTTCTACATGATATTGTCCGGCAAGAAAATGTACTTGTGGCTAAAACATTGCATTGGAACACAACTTTGTTGATCCATTAACAAAGGTGTCGTCGATCAATAGTTTTGATCAACACCTGGATAACATTGGAGTTAGATGCAATTTGAATTGGCTATGAGGAAAATGTACTTGTGGCTAGAACATTGTATTGGAACACAACTTTGTTGATCCATTATCAAAGGTGTTATTGATCAATAATTTTGATCATCATCTGGATAACATTGGAGTTAGGTGCAATTTGAATTGGCTATGAGGGCAAGTGGGAGCTGTTGGGATTTATATGCCCTGGCATAGCAAATTCCTGTTTGGATTAAAGTGACATATGTTCCTGACGTTTATGAAATATTTATGTTTTATACAATTGGTGAATTCAATGTATTATATTTCGATTCATTATAGAATTGATAATGTCCATTTGATTACAAGAGATATTTATATATATGTTTGTGATGGCAATCAATGCATGATATATAAATAGTAATCATAAATGGTTCATAGTCGGTAATTATAGATGGACTCATAATTAATTAAGATTTGAACTGGATTTGCGTTAGGTTGAGATATATTGCGAGAGCCGTCGTATGCAATTGCTCCCTATCACCGTCATGGCATTTGACTCTTAAGTATGAGAAAATTATAGACTCTTTTATTAATTAATAATTACTTTGATTTATTCGGCGGATTCTTTGGGATCCTTAGACTGACACTTTGGGTAGTTATGTAATTAATAGTTAGATGGTTATATTTTCAATATTTGCATCATTGCTACTTGTATTTATTTTGTATTGATTATGGTTGATCACAAAGTAAATTCGAAGGCCTTCGTGTATTTTTAGACAAAATGATTTATTATATATTTATTTATTTAAATTATTATTTTTGTCAAACAAATGTTTTATTGTGATCGAGCCAGAAATAATCAAAGGTATCAAAATAAATATATTAATTAAGTAGTCGGATTGATGGCTTTATTTATCCGATAACTAATTATGCATAGAGGGGTCAAAGTGCAATATTGACTTAGAGGTTATTTATTATTTAATTGGGGTTCCATTAATTTCTTTTAGTGGAGTAGAAATTAATTTATGAATTAATTGAATTGGGTCCATGGATCGGGCCAATTATTAATTCATTGTAACCAATAAAATAATAGGCCCAATGGATTCTCACTCATAGCCCAACTTGATATTGGAATCATATTAGATTTGAGACGTATGAATTAGAGATTGAGAAGGATTAGTTGTTTCCTTTTCTTTACCTTTATGTTGCCTATAAATATACATGGTCTATGTATATTTTAGGTGTGATTTTTAGTAGAAGAAAAAAGGAATATATTTTTTCTCTCTAGAAAATTAGGGTTTATGTTCTCATCTAATGGATGCTCCCACAAGCCTAGTTTTCCAAGGTCATTCATGGAGGCATATGAGTGATTCCTAAAGGCAAAACAATTACCAAGAAGATGGAGATCCAAGGAGAATGCATCTTGCTAAGGGATCTACAATAAGTGAGAACATTCACTTTAGAGGAGAGATCTAAGGTTTACTCAAACCTTGATGTAAGTATTCAATCTTTTAATTGAATGATACATCATGTTTTATTTTTGCATAAAACTTGTCTCTATGTAATGAATCAAGATCTATGAATTTAAATCCCTCAAAAAGTTTTTAAAACTAGCACGTTTCCCAACAGAGCGCACTTGGAACAATTGTTTGTGGCTGTGTGATCATTAATAGTCATGAGTTCCTTAATTTAACACTTGCATATTTTGTTCTTTCTAAGTCATGGCTTAGTGAAGGTACCTTCTGTTAGTACATGTTTCATTGACTTAAGTTGACGATGCTGATATCCTTTTCTTCTGCACATTTTTTGGATACCACTTTTGAATGTTGCAGGATGTTGCATTGTTGACTGATGGAAGATTCTCGGGAGTTTCACACAGACATATTGTTGTTGTCCACATATGTCCTGCAGCACGGGTATTTGCCGTTGGACCGAATTTTCGGTATGACCTTTAGCCATCTCTATATCTTCAAGGTGTTGAATGACGATGCGATGATAGTTGATTGGATTGGTGTTAGACCTAATGAGAGAGTGTCATACAGGAAAATGTAGTAATTTGAAGATGTTGAAACATGTACTAAGTTTTCAAAAAATAGTTTTCAGAAAATTAAAAATAAAAAAATGTATAAAAAAATTCTGCTTAGTTCAAATTTTTAAAAGCTATTTTATGAAAACTTAGTAATAAAAATGCATGTTTTTAAATAAATGTATTTTATTGTTCTTTGGAAAGTGTATTCTGTTATCTGAATTCTTAAGAACTATTTTCAAAATTACAAATCAAGCAATCCCATTGTGCATGTGTCGATGGATGAACTAATCTGGCACATTAATCATACAAAAGATATTCAGAATATTTTTAAATATGCAAGATATATAGACAACAAATACAATATTACATTCTTAATTAACGAAACCACAATCCCGCAAAGATACCTATCTTTTTCCACATCCACTCAATTCATTGACTTTTTTCTCTTTCCAACAGGTAATCCTAAAATATGACCAAAAAAAGTAGTAATACTTTTAATATAAACATTAAAAATTATTCATGACTTAAACATCCTCCAAATAACCAAATATAGTACGAGACCCTGGCGAGCAATCACACTGGCAGATTATGTCGGGTACGACACATTGGGCGAGCAATCACACTGGTAGACTATGGGTGTCATAATCTCACATCGCTTGAGAAAAGTAAAGATGAAGTGTTATATGTAAGTTCAATACCTTTCTATGACATACAATGTTTTAGTGGCCTTGGTGGGTTAGATAGGAACAAAGCCTTGAAGGTAGGCACCAAGCAACACAATGGGACGTTTGGTTCGGGGGATAATATTCTAATATCAGGATGGGTGACCTCCTAGAAAGTTTGGTCCGAGATAATAAAAAACTGATAAATTAATAATGTTAATTGTGCTCTTCTTATGTAAACTTGTACTAAAAGGAAACAAAGACTATATCGTAAATTCTTGGAGGACAAGTAAGGTAAGTCCCAGGCAAATTCAACTTCTCTAAATCATTATAAATAAAAGCCAATAAAGATAAGCATTTCTGTACTACATTATAAATAAAGGCCAATAAAGATAAGCATTTATGTACTAGTATTGTTCTATTGCTAGTTTTGTTCTTGAGCACATTGCAAGGTTTTTTGACTTTTTCCAAGTTGAATGAATTTTTGCACATACACCGTGGAACCAGGAATTTACTTTAGGGGGCAACCGTTAACAATAGTATGATAAGAATTTTTGAACCAAAATTAATACATAGAAAAATGAAGGGTCTTTTCTAAATTTTGATTTTTAAAAATTTTGTGAGACCTAGTTGAGGAGGCCAAAAAAAAAAAAAAAGGCCTTTTTTTAATTTTGAAATTTTTATTAGACAGTGAGTTAGAAAATGAGGTTTTTTTTTGAAAGTTTTTTTAAAGGATTTTTGTGAATTTTATAGGGAGTCACTTTTACAATTATTAGAAATTTAGTGTAAAAATCTACTAATAAGAGAAAAGTCCTATGGAGCAATTGCCCCCACTTGACCCAATGTGGCTATGCCTAACAGGATATCAAGAAATTTTGTAAGAAGAAATTGGAGTAAACTTTCTAGAATGGTGCAAATATTGATCTATTAATTCAATAAAAACAACAATAAAGTGAAGTACCAATATAATACGATTTTTTAAAAAAACATGAAGAATTTTTTATTTTTTTATTTATTTATTTTTAACCTGGCAAACAGCAACAACAGCAGCAACTAGCAAGACATACAATCCTTAGCTGCCAAATCAAGAATATCTTTTGGGATATGAACGAGAGCCACATCTTGATGAAGAAAATCTCGGGAAAGCTTTGTAATGACGTGAACAACTTCATTGCCATTTCTACGAACAAGGCTAAGTCGAGAAAATGAAAACTTCTGAACTACCACTAGAATATCTAAGACAAGGGAATGAATTTCTGTCGGTCCAGCAGCATCACCAATCACTGCTTGAACCACTACCTTAGAATCACATTGAAACCAAAGTTGAGGAACTAAACAGGAACCTGTCCAAATAATAGCTTTGCGCAGACAAATAGCCTTAGCCAAGGTTGCACTAACAGCAGGGAAAGGAGAAAACACTACAGCCTGCACAATAGTGTCCAAAGAATCACGAAAAACAGCTCCACCACCCCCAACCTGAGAAGAGGCCAAACACGATACATCCACATTACATTTAAGCACACCCTCTCCTCCTGGAGGCAGCCAACGGGAAGAAGAAAAGGGAGGAGGAGAAAGGCGAGTAACCGCTAAACTAGGAGACAAACAATCATTAGACGATGAGGATGCAATCCTAAACTCCCAAAACAGAGAACAAGCCATCACAGCAACTCTACGAGCATCCCATTTCACCCCATCAAAAACATATTTATTCCTGGCCTTCCAAATTCCCCAACAAAAATAGGCCACCATACCCAACACATTCATTCCCCCTTACACAGCCTTCCCCTTGCTAACTAGATGCATCCACCAAGTAGAGAAGAAGGAGAGAGGAGCAGACTCAAAATCCAACCTAAGCGGTGAAAACTTCCACACTTGGATGGAATGAGGGCATAGAAACAGCAAATGCTCAATGGATTCCTCATCAAGTCCACACTTAGGACACAACACGTCTGCCTCTAAACCATGAGCAATAAGAAGCTGACAAACTGGTAGAGCCCGCTGACAACACTTCCATAAAAAATGTTGAATTTTGAGTTAAATTTTGCATTTCCAAATGCTATTTCAAAACAACCTATTAGAAGAAGAAACTGTAGAATCCTCCGGAGCTCGACCACGAAGTTCACGAACCATTCGCCGGAGATTAAAAGCCAAACGATATGCAGAGCGGACGGTAAAGTCCCCTGTTGGCTCGAGATCCCAGGCCAAGAACAGAAAAAGTAAAGTCATAAATACTGTTCATAAATACAAGTTGTCTTGAACGGAGTCGAGTCATAAATACTATTCAACAGGAAATTGAGGCTGCAGGACACGAGAGCAGTTCAATTGGCCAACTCGATCGGTTTGGGGTTCTTTTCTTTTTTCCTTGTTGCGAACCGGGAATTTATTGATGCATTTATGATTATTGTTCAAGTTCTCAACATGTGAATGTGAATTTTTTTAGTTGTTGATGTCAGTCTGACATATCTTTTTTTTGAAGGTTGTTACTTACAACAAAGAGCCCGAGGTCTGAGAAACAATACACATATGCTGTGGAAAGCTTATGTATGGTCGGAATATTTTGATTCATACTTACATTGTGCATGCCCAGGACAATGAGAAAGATATCGCACTTTCGAGAAAGCTAGAACAAATGGTGAAAAAGAGAGGATAATGCCAAACCATTTCGGGTTGATACCACATTACCACGACCACGACCACTTCCTGATGATTCAAATACTTTTTTCAAAATTGAAAACAAAAAAGACAGAAAAAATATATATATATCTAGAAATTATCGAAACAAGACACGATAAACGAAATAAAAGAGCTTACCACTTCCATATCCATGTTCCTCGTACTGCCTCCCATTTTCATCATCTCTTTTATGATACTTTGGATCTCCATCCTCTACTTCAATCATCTCTTAACAAAATCACCAGTTTCAAACGCTTCATTGCTTGCACCAGATTAAGCTTTGCGGTGATTGTGTACCCAATTTTTAAATACTGACTTTCTGATGCCAACCTCGCGGCAGAATTCTTCCACTGTGTCTCTGTCCTTCAGCATGACGCTCCATTCAAGTTTGTGTTTTTTTTTTTTTTTTTTTTTTTTTCAAATTTAAACATTCTGAGGCGTTGATATTCATTAAAACTCGAACGGCTTCGTTTCAACAAGGCACCGGCTTCCAAAGCTTCATTGCCAAGTGTTCCGTAAGCTTCACGGTTATTATATTCCCACTTTTTAAATACAGATTTACTCCGATCTCCCCGCAGAATACTTCTACCGACTCAATTCATGTTTGGCAACAACTTCCATTCATGTTTGTATATAACCTCCTCTGGCAGAATCAGGTTCAAAACCCCTGAAAATCGTGCATTCACGTGAAGAGGAGAGACTTCCGAGAAAGCTATAACAAATGGTGAAAAAGTATTCACGTATTATCAATTTTCTGGGTTTTAAACTAGAAGTAAAACTAATGAGTTTTTTTCCTTAATAATCACCGTTTAAGCAAACGATAATACATTTTTCACATAGTCCATAATTATATTAAGAAAAATCTCTTTATCTTCTTTCCGTAAGCTCAATATTACCAATTGTACGCTTATATAAGAATTGTTGAGGAGAAATTAATTGAAACTCTAATAAACAAATAAAAATTATTTTTATATTAATTAAAATCTGCTTTCTTAATTATACTATAGGGATTTAAACTAATCTTAATTCAACAAGCACTTGCAAGTGGAGGTTTATAGGGGATGTCTTTATAATTTATCCTTTATTTATTTATTTACCCATAAAAAATAAATAATGCATTAAAGATAATACGACTTTTGTTGTATATTAGATGTCCCTTTGAGAGTATAATTTTTAAGGAATGTGCAATTGTTATATTATTTTCTTAAAAATTATTAAGCTCTCATTTCAAGTTTAAATTTTTTAAAATTTTAACTGATATTTCATATTTCATGAAAAGAGGTTAAATATGTTTTTTAAACTCTTCAAGTGGACAAGTAAATTTCTTTAAAGGGGTGCAAAAAAAAAAAAAAAAAAAAAAAGTAAATTCACAGACATGAGGACCGCTTGGTAAAAAATGATCGACTGTAAATAATTGTAATTAAAAAAAATCAATCGCTACTTATATGAAACAAATTTTCTCTTTAATAAAAATCAATACGCTACTTATATGAAACACTAATTTTTCTCTTTAATAATTGTGAATAAAAAAATTAATAAGCAACTTATATGAAACACTATTTTTTCTCTTTAATAATTGTGATTAAAAAAATTAATACGCTACTAATAAAATGTTTTTTTTTTTTTTTTAAATCATGTGTATTCGTCTCACAATACACACATCATTCAAATCAGAAGTGTGATTTGAAAGTAAGATTTCAAAAATTTACATCTTGAATTCTTATTCACGCTGTTATGTCTTAGGAGCTTATGGAATCCTTTTGAGGAACACTAACCAATAAGAAAAATAAAATATAAGCATAATGTAGTTCGCTAGGCATTAGCTCAACTAGCTCGTCCTTGTTCATATAACATGAAGGTTCCTTGTGGTCTTAAAAAGAAATAAGAAATAAATAATTTAAATGTCTAGTGTTCCCCATTTTAGCGTGGAGGCACCTATAAAATGAAAATTAATTATATTAATTCCACAATGTACCACAATCAAATCATACATTCATATACACACAAATATATATATATATGTCATAGATGCCATACCATTTGGATAACTAAAACACTATTGCCATAACTATTAATTAACAATGTATGTTTTTAATGCGTCATTGAGACTCGAGTCGGGGAAGGACAATGTTGGCATGCACAATGTTGATATTTTAGAGTAGAAATTAATGAAAAATAAGTTAATTGATATAAAATAATCAAAGTGAAATTTATTAAAAACAAATGTAATACAACATTTTTGACATGCACAATGTTGATGATAAAGAGATATACTTATATCTTCACCATTCTGACTATTGATTTGAACTAATAACACATGATTACGTTATCTTTAATTGTCAAATAAAAAATAGTAAATATATATTCACTTATCAAATCATATGGTGGTTAATTATCAAATTTGATTTGGTAATTAAAAAAGGGTATGCTTATTTATTATTGATCCACATCACTGATCAGAATGGTGTACATCTTCACTGATCTAAGTATTGTCCTTAAAAATAAGTACAAGAAAATTGTGGTAATTTTTATTGGATAGAAAAACTAACCATGTGATTTTTTAATTTTTAATTTTTTCCTTTTTTGAGTGTCTCAAATGTAATTAACATTGTCAAATAAGTAAATAAACATTTTTGACATGCACACGTGCTACAACTAGTAATTTATAGAGATGTATATGCACAATGTGGTTTTTAATCGCGTTCATTTATTTTTAAAATTGGGGTAATCTCATATGAATACTACATTTTTGACATACACAACAACGATAGGATGAAAAATATAATTTCTAAGTTAATGAACGACATACACAATTAGTTACCAAAAAAAAATAGTAATAAAAATCAGAAGAAAATTAATTAGATATATTGAGAGAAGTGCAAAAATTAACTAGATACATTGTATTCAATTTCATGTTGTTGACAAATAGAACTAATTTTTTCTCTCTTCCCCCCTTTTGTTTTAAAAAGTCACTTAGTATTATATTGAATGGTTCTCCTGTTATCTCATAGTATACTAATGACATTTATGGGTTTATTTATCTACAAAAAATTAGAAATAAAAATTGTAATTGATAAAGAAGTACATATGAAAAATAGTATGAAAATGTATATACAAAATAAAAATAGTTTAAAATTTTAATAGTAGTATACAGGGGCGGAGCTAGGAATTTGTTTCAGGGGGGCGCCTTATTAAAAATGATAAATTATATTTTTTTCAAGTGAATAGTGATGCCGCTATGCAAGACAATAATGCAAAAAATAGAACATTAATAATGGTGGAATAATAGCATTTAATAATTTAAAAAATAATTATTTTTAAAAAATAAAAACATAAAATACACCTTAAGAGTCCTGTTAGCAACAAATTTAATTACCAAACTTTGAAAAGAAAAAAAAAAAAAAATAGTTTGAATAAGAGAATGCAACTTTTTTTTTTTTTTTTTTTAAGAGAATATAAAGAAGAAAAAGAAGAAGAAGAAGAAGAAGAGGAGGAGTAAGAATGAAAAGAAAGAAAAAATTAAAGATATTTTTAAAAAATAATTATTTTAGTGGGCAATTTTGTAAAATTTTATAAATTATAGGCCTATTTGTAATAAAAATTAATTGGCCCAAGGGCAAATAATTATTTAAGTGGGGCATTTTTCACTTTTTTATAAGTTATTGGCCTATGTGTAATAAAAATTAATGGCCATTTTTTAGAAAAAAATTATTTTAGGGGGAGCATTTTAAAAACTTTTATAAATTATAAGCCATTTTATAATTAAAACTAATGGGCCAGCATGGGCCCCCCGGGGCCGATGCTGGCTTTGCCTTTGGTGGTATAAATATAAATATACAGAAAAGATAAATCAAGAAAAAAAAGAAGAGAATAGAATAGAGTTCACTAGTTTAGACAGTGCATTAACTGGTGTGGTACAAAGGAGTTCATGGGAATATTAATCAAGACATCACTGCACCGGCTTAGTTGTCGCAAAGAACAGTAGGGACATAATGGTTTTGTCTTGTAAGAAGAATAGAAATTCATGGACAATTGTGTAATAATATAGAAAATGTGTGCTTTAATTTGTTGATTTTTACTTTGATGTGCTT